ATATATATATATATATATATATATATATATATATATATGTATATCGCATATCCTGCGATCGGCTCGGATGACCGTAATACTTTTTTTTTTAATGTTTTGTGCTGAAGCGATTGAGACTAAAACGAAATTGATCGGTTCAGTCGTTCTTGAGTTATTGCCCCGTGAAGATTTTCTCATTTTTCAACAGCATGAATTTCGCGCATAAGATGCACTCATGCCTCTTGATATAGTTAGCCAGAGCGATGGTGCGCCGACGATTGTGTTTTCGTCATTAATTACGCTCAATTTCGATCGGGAGGATAACAATAATGTTCCCCCGGGACGACACAGCGCAGAACAGAGGATTCATCGAAAAGCCACGGATACTCGCAAGCGTTTAATGAGGCAAATTATTATTCCGTGGATCGACGAGCAAATGGTAAACTAAAGGCTAGCTTTAAGGCGCTCTCGCAAATTAATACCCGCGTCTGTGTGCCGCCGCGTTAAGCAGTCTAGGTAGCTTTGTATCCTTTGTCAATACGACTCCTAGCAGCTGGCTACCGGGGGCGTCGCGTACCGCAGGATTTCGTGTAGCCCTGTTCTGTTGACCGAAGCGTGAATCGATATCTCGGAGCCGTTCTTCAGACGGAGCGCGTCGTTTCACGAGATTAGTCCGGCGCGCCGTGCCGGGGTCGAATGTAAATCCCGAATACATTTGCGGGAAATGAGATCCCCCCCCCTCCCTTCTCTCGTGCGGTCGCTATCTCGCCCGCGCGAGTCCGGCGCGTGCGGCTCTTTTGTGTGTTCAATTTATTTTTCGTGCCACTTAAAGCCCCTCTTACACGTCGCGCGCGGAGGACGCGCGCCGTGCGATCTATGCTTTACCACCGAGAACGGCCACTTTCATCCGGCTGTAAATTATCACTTTTACCCTCCCTTGTCGGAGAAAGAGAGAGGAAAGAAAGCGGCTCGCTTATCGCAACCGCCTCCGCCGGAGATGAACGATTCCTCTATTTTCCGAGTGAACGAGCCGGCGTTACCGAAGTTACTCGCATCGACGAGCGAATTCGCGTCGAGAGCGAACCCTCTTCTTTAAAGTGTTTGACAATTAGCGTAATAAAACCCTGATGCGAGAACGTCGAGCGCAAAGTCCTCGCGTTTCGCACGTTTCGTGATGCCGCGCATTCTCCCCGCACGAAAACAACTTTCCGGGAAGCCGGGGAATTACTTTTGCCCTTGAATGCGTAGAATTATCGCGTTTTATACTTTATTCCAGCGCGCCGTCGATTCCCTCTCACAAAAACGTATCATTAGACTCTTGACGCGGGTATAAATGGTCGTCAGCGTTTCCGTCGAAGGTCGCGATAACGCGCACAGCGAGGAGGGTAAAATATCGCGCGCGCTTGATACCGTTTCGCGATTACGCTAGCCAGAAAGTTTGCGTCGAAATTAGATCACGGCGTACGTGAACTTTGCGGCACAAAAGCGGCAATTCTAACGGCGACTGCGCGCGCGCGCGCTCCCAGACCGACCCAGTCTAGACGCGTGAATGCGCGCGCTGAAGGATGCAATTCATACTATCTATTTTCAGACTCCGCGTCAGAGGCCAAGGGAAGCTCGGACACAATAGACGTAAAATAGAGTACACAAAGTCACTTACAGAATTTGCATGGAATATTCACATTGAGTAATTTTTCATTTTCTAACAAGACGACCTCTTTATATCAAAATAATAATAATAATAATAATAATAAAATTGAGACAAACAGATATGAGAATATTTTTTTTAGCTTGCGCTCTTTTGTTATGAAAAAAAAAAAGAAATCCTATGTATTAAAAAGTGTAAAGTTTAGAATAATATATGATGGCGAATGTAACGTTCATTAACAACGTTGATTAACGCTATGATTATTATTATTATTATTATTATACACCCGTGTCTTGTCCCGGATAAATCCTGCTGGTTTAAGAGCTAATTAAGACGACAACTCTTTTCCACCGAGTAATGGATTTGTGATTAATCTCGCTTTTCTTTTTCCGCGACGCGGGTCATTCGTTAGATTACATTAAATCTATCTTTGTTATTGCCCGATTATTCGCGCGCGCTACTTCTGCTCGACAAGATCGGTCGAGAGAGACGCGCCACAGGGAGACCATTATAGTTACCCGGTTACTCGGTCAATTCCCCTGAAAAAAAAAAAAACTTTTTATATCTTCGGACGTGTTTATTCAGGCATCGAGTTTTGTGCAACTTTTCCGAAAGGCAACCCTCACAATCTCCGCGAGGATCGTCTATTAAAAACGTCAATATCGCGGAGATAAAGAGCCTTCTATGTGCCGACGAAGATATCGTATTTATATAAGAGGGAAAGGGAGAGGGGAGAGATTGGAGGGTCGCGACAGTGAACGAGGGAGAAATCTGTTTCTTCACCGCGCGGAGAGGGATCTTATCGGTTTAATTAACCTTACGCAGCGAGAGAGAAAGATAGAGAGAGAGAGAGAAAAAAAAAGTTATGAGATGACGCAACGAGCTGTCCGTTAAGCGGATGAGGGTCGCGCGGGTTTTTATTCAATCCTCGCTGTTACGGGCGTCGGTCGTTGATGCCGGCACGAAATCTCCTCTCGTACGAAACGGGCATTATGGACGTCATATTTTGCGTGGCGGGTCCATTGTGCAAGCCGCCGTACGACGCGCAACAGAATATACATATGAATGACCATGCAGATTCGCCGTTTGTTTTATTATCTCGGAACGCTCGTAAGTGTATTTGCATTATGCAACGACTAATAGGGGTAATGGGCAACGTGATTACCGCTATATAGCTCCGCGCATTACTTTGCAACCCCCTCCGCTTGTGCCCCGTTCCTTCTCGCTCTTTCCGTTACGAGACGGAACGAATGTACTGGCGTTAACATTATGCCGCCACGGTGATATGTCAGCCGCAAGAAATCGCGGCTTATATTTTCCTCTTTCCAAAGTGTTTATCTCCGTTACGCGCCGCGGGAGTCGCCCCGGGATTTCGGGATTACGGGGCTCTCGACTCTGTCTGTGTGTGTGTGTGTGTGTCGCGAGAAATGCACGCAGATAAGATTCGGAATTGTTTTGCATAAACTAGTTTTAATTAAAGCGCTCTTACGCGCTGTTCCACGGAAAATTCGGATCAAATCTTTAGATACGTTCTTTCTCTTTTGAGAGAAGAAAGCGCGATATCAAAATATTTTCCTCGGTCAATTTTTTTTGTGGAAATTTTAATGGATCTTAGCAATATTGTATAATAATAATTCTTATCAGGCAGTCTCTTCAAAAGAAAACTCCGAATGAGTTTTGCCTCTTTTGATCGACGGAATATCACACTTACATGCTTTGCTGCGTAGATCCCAGATTTTTAAGGTGCGATCGTAACTTCCCGTAACTACTTTCGACGGTTCGCCGAGAAACTTGGCTGCCATCACCTTTGCGCAGTGGCCCGTGAGAGTGTGCTGAAACAGAAATATAAAGATTGTTTGTGCATAAAATCAAGTAATCGAACGCAGAAAAAAAAAATACGGTCACGCTCATATAAATAAGTAATCGTAAAATCACTTTCAATTCTCGATCAAGAATCGTCATATAGTTTATAGTGTTGCAGAATATATACATTTATACATTTATGCGTTATCTATACGTATATCTCTCGCGTAAATCTGATGCTTATTTTATTTATCCGAATCAAAATTACGTTTCTATTTTAATTTTTTTAATATATAAACATATCCATGTTTTGCGAATAAATATTGCGACAGAAATAAATATTGTAGTGTTTTCGGTTATAGAAAGAATAAAAACCACGTTATTTAATATAAAAGGAGTAACGAAATGAATTTATTATAATTAATGTTAACAACTGAACGGTTTTACAGCTTCTGATATCTCGCGCGACTTGTCTTTATCAGCGGCTACGAACTCTCTGTCTCCGGCGACCGAAGATCTCTCGCTCATCACCTTTCGGTTTTCGAGGATATCTTCTTGTTTTCTTCTTTTGAAAGTCGTCGGTTGGATTACCAACAGGCAATCGACAAACACCGCAAATAAGATAATAGTCGAAAACATTTGTCACCTCGACAGTCACAAACAGACAAACCTGTTGTGAGATTATCGCCGTTACGTTTTCAAAATTCACGCAAATAGAAATAAATAATACATACATACAAGAATTACAGACTTTACAATTCGATTTTCCTTACAATATATCTCGTGTGACGTAAACTTTCGATGGAACAATTAATACACAACGAGTGTGTGTGTGTGTGAGTGAGTGAGTGAGTGAGTGAGTGAGTGATTAAAACTATACCATTCCCGTCACGAGTTCGCTCGGGTTATAAACTATTTTGTTTAAATACAATTTAGAGAGAAGCCCGGGTGGAGTCATTGGCACTTTGCGACTTCTGAGTCCTGAACTTTAAACGGAGGACTTTGTTAGACCGAGTACCGGGCTCTTTCATAAGTTGATTTTCTCTCTTCTACTTTCGAGTTCAGCTCCCACGCTCCGAGCATCGACGTGTTCGAAATGAGAAATGAATGTAGCTGCGAGGGGCGGAAACAGACCGACGGGGTATATAAAGCATGCGTTTCAAGCAGAATAGTACGTCATTCTTTAACGGTAACAAGAAAAGAGTTCGATTTCATTATTACTTCCATATTGAGTTGGACAAGAAGAAACACGATTGGCGTCGGCGCGACGCCTTTTGTATTTCATCGATATATTCGCTCACATGTACATTTGAGAGCGCGCGATATGAATTTATCAAAAAATTACAAATCGACGCACAGTAGAGCGAAAGGAAGAAAGAGCGATGAAAACTCTGTGTTTGCGTGTGTGTGCAACGTTGTATTGAACGTAATACGAATATTATATCGCCGAAAATATCGTCGGATAGCCCGGGGGATATTTGTTGTCGTTGACATTGATGTCAACGGCAGGTATTCCGTCCCTCTTTATTTCGTTTGTTTGTGCGAACGGGCATTAAACTCGCACGTTGACATTCATAGCGACGCGTTTTACGAACAATTTTTTTTTTTCGATCGCGAAGTATGTACACCCGATGTATATTCCAGGGCGCTCTTATCGCACGAACTCTCTCTCTCTCTCTCTCTCTCTCTCTCTCTCTCTCTCTCTCTCTCTCTCTCTCTCTCTCTCTCTTTCTCTTTGGTAACGATACGCGATATACTCATTCGATGGTCTGGTTGATTTTCGTTTTTTTTCTCTTTTTTTTCTCTTTTTTTTTTTTACATAGCGCAAACTCCGGGAAACGCGAGCCTTTCATCGTGAAATACAGTTTTCGTTACCGTCCTCCCTACCATGTCCATTATGCAAAAGATTGTTTTCTGCCTTTAATGGGAACATAAATCGTTGTGATAATAACTGACCGCACGTTGCACGTAATCATAAACCGGGTAGTATCTGAATATTCGTAATAGCATCAAGTTAATTATGTATATAGGCGTTTCCCAATGATCGGTCCCGTCGATAAGAAATAGCGGACTCTAGCCGCAATGATCCACTCGCGCACCACGCGTTTATACTCCGATATACCGACGCTTTTATGAGTGAATAAATTTTTCAATGACAGCGCTCGCAGCCCGCGCGTTATATGTTTATCGCGCGTCTCTCGCATTAATGGCGCAAACGGTTAATGAAATTTCAAGAGTGATATACGGAGTTCTCATGGTTCCCAAGATCGCGCGGGCTTAATGACCTGGGTAAAAGTTTCAGAAGAAAAAAAAACACGGATGACACTTCTCCCGACGCTAATGTCAGTTCGAGTTTTACGATGTTAATAAATTATTTACCGACAGCTGACGCGGATCTCCTTGTGTTGTTTCAATGTTGACGCGGCACGCGGTGAAATGAAATTATCAAGTGATGTATGCGCGGCACTTACACGGTTACGTAAACCCCGACTTGACTTTAAAGAGAGTAAATGCCAATTCCCTCGACGCTTTTACAAATCAATCAAGTCCGCGCGCAACGGGCGTGATTTAATGACCCGCCGCGCACCGAGCTGCAAGCGCGCCTTCCGCGTTCAACGTTTGCGCGCGTCGCTCGTCGTTAAATGAAATTCTAAAGTTATCTCATATACGCTCGGCTCGTTCCTTTTTCCACCGTCGCGTCGTCGTTTAATGGTGAAGAATTCAAGCGTGACGTCGACAAGAGGGCACGAAACGGAGAGAGAGAGAAAAAGCAACTCGAGGGCTCTTTCGCGCGCGCAAGGGCGAGGGGAGAAGAGAGACGTTAAAAAGAAGACTCGGCCAATTTTAAGGCGCGCGGGCGCTAGCGTGCTCTTGAAAAATGTCCTAATGTAAATTAATGGCCCGGAAGTTTAACTGGAAGGGCTATAACGTGAAAGAAACACAGGTAGGAGAGTATACAGTCTTCTTCCTCATACCATCCCTTTTCGCGGACGCGTCTTATACGAGCTCCTCGAGAGAACTTTGCTCTCTCTTTCGCGAGAAAGAAGAAGACGTTCACGGAGGGAAGAGACCACCCCCCCGAAGAAAGTGCACCATAATCTAAGATCTCGAGAAGTTTGTCGAAAGTGCGCGGCGGGACACGGAGTCTACTATACACTCTTTCTTCGCGCGAAAACGGGTGAATGGACTTTGCTCGCGATCTAACCTCGTGCGCTGTTAAAAGAACCGCGCGCAACACATACCGATAGCGCGGGAAGAATGCGCTCTTTTTGAGATTTTTTTTGAGAAGATATCGAGAAACTCTCTCAAGGAATCAAAGCCCGATAATGACGAGTAATTTAGTAAGGCGCGTGAAACGCGCGTGTCTCTCGAGAAGTTTGTAACAACTTTGCGTCGTAAATTAAACGCACGAACGTAAGTGATTCCGCGAATATTCTTGGGAGTAATTCGAACGCACGCAATAATTTCGCGTAACAATTCTATCTCCGCTCCGTGCGCAGCTAGTGCATGTAATTCGAGATTATGACAAAGCGCGAGGCACGCGAGCTCGCCGGAAAGCTCTATTAACGCGAATATTCGAAGTCGTGTCGTATCGATATCTCGGCGCGAGGATATTGTATTTCTCTGCGGCCGGGTTCGCGGGATCTCTCATAATGCATCTATCTCGCGAAGAACAAACGAAAGAAGAAACTTATCGCGTCACGTGCTCGCGCGCCCGATAATACGCGATATTGATACGCGCGCGCGCGCGCGCACATTCGTCGTATATAATGATGTTATATCGACATAACATCCGCAAATATCCGTTTCAAAGAGGATGGAAACAGAGAGTTCTTGCAGAGAGAAACGTGAGAGTGAGAGCTTTAACAATCCGCGATGCGATTTTACGCACGCGTATCTCTTCGAAAGTTCTTCTGCCGTCGTACATAGACTTGAAAGACGCCAAACGACGTCAATCCGCTTAGATGTTAAATGTTGAAGCTTTCGTAAAGTCGCTCCTGAAACCAGCGCGCTTCCCAGTTGGAAAAAGACCGCGAAAAAAGAAAATCCGTAATCAATAATTTCCAACATTTTTACGATAATATTTATTTCTAGATCTCTGATACTTGAAAATAATAAAAACGAGAGAAATGAGAAGAGAAAAAATCATGTTTACTCGGAGAGTTTCGGAAAGAAAGTCACAGAAATTTGTTGAGAGAAATAAGCACAGTCGTCGAGAAGGAAAGTGCAAAAAAACGCGATAATTCGCACGCCATTTACATAACTCGGACATTTCAAAGGATTTTTTTGCTGAATGGCAAAAGAGATCGTCCGATGGTTTTGTAGTTCGAGTTCCGGAGGGAACTCACGTCCTTCAATTCGCGAGTCGGGAATCCTTTCATTTTACGCGCGAGCAAGAATCGTCCTAGGAAGGTGGTGTTGCACGACGAGAGAGGGGGAGAGAGGGAATTTGCGGAATAAGCGGCTAATATCTCGTCTTTTTACGATGCCCCCCGAGTTTACTGGTGTCAGTGAGGAGGTTGCGCGCACACGGTGTGTGTACACCCGGTGGTGCTCCTCACCGCGCGCGCAATAAAAGCATAAACTTCTTCTATAGTCCTAGCGCTCCATCGAGGGGCGAACAGTAATGCGGCCGGTGTGCGGAAAAAGAACAACGGCAAGAGGAGGGGAGCGAGATCCCTCTCAAGTTGTACGGGGCTTCAATTAAAGTCGGTAAAAAGAACGGCGGGGAAGCCGCCGCTAACCTTCCTGGAAAGCAACTAGCGACCTATGTTTTACGACCGCTGCTCTCGTACTGTTTTCAAAAGTGCACACAATCCCACCGCCGAAAACGTTTTCAAGGGTAGTCGAGAATTCGCTATATACACACACGCTCGTCTATATACCGCGTTGTTCCCACCTCCCCTCTCTCTTTTCTCGAATACGATGCACTTGTTAATCTCATGTCCGATCTCTATCGCCGCTCGTTAATTTCAGTAACATAGTTATTACGGGGAGGCGCCACGTTAGCTGTAAAAAAGTCCGTAAA